TAATATAATATAATATAATATAGTGTAATATAATATAATATAATATAATATAATATAATATAATATAATATAATATAATATTAATATATATAATATTCAATATTTTCACTTTCGGATTGCGAGACATTTTTGGGACATCCTGTATAATATACACATACAACAGCTTTACTACAATATATATTTTAACCTTTTATGTAATTCAACCTTTTTAAGGGGAGGGTACTCTATGTGTAAGTAGCAGTCGTTTTTCTACTCTCGCGACCGTTTCGACGGTGTAAATTTGCTTCCGTTGGAATCGTATGCGATCGACCAATTTCAGAAATATGAACACGGACGAGAACACGCCTCTGCAATTTTTCGACGAAATTGAAATTCACCCACTGATCATCCCAATAGAGGACGACGTTTGCCCGGACATGTTCCCGACGATTTATCAATGTCTCGAGAGGCTGGGACCACCGTCGGACTACGGTGAGCAGAGGCTGCCTTCGATTTTGTCGGTTTCATCGTTTGTCACGCGCCGCCGGGGCGAATAACCTCTCCGACAAATTGATCCGCCGTGAAAACTTTAGTTGCGCGAGGACACCGCGGAATCGGCTCGAGCGTGGCCGTTGCGAACGCGAGAACCGACGGCGCACAATTTCGACGATAGTTTTTTTCCCCGGGGCTCGTGCCGACGTGTAAATCTTCATGAAGCTTTTTATGCGATCAGGATTAACTGCGGAAAAGGCGAGAAATCTACGGGCGACGGCGCAGGCGGAAGCGAAAGCTTCAGAATTCGCCGCGAAGCAACAGGCGGAGAGAGAATTGTTGGAACGTAAGAGGCAACGGGAGAATAAAATGGCAGAATGGGTAAGTGCTCTTTCCTTCGAATTAAAAATGCAACTGTGGTCGCCGCCTGTGAAGTAGAAAACAGAATGGAAAATTCAGCGTACATGAAAACGTGGAATGTATTTATCGGAGGAATATGTACGCGGTGCTTAAACAATCGGATATTGCGAGTCTTAAAAAAATATCCGAGCCATGCGGAAATAAGAAAAATCAATTTATACCGTCGATTGTTATTTTTGCAGAGAAATAAATTGCGCTTGATTTATCAGCAATTTTTGGCTGTTAATAAATCTCAGCTTGTAAATATGGTTTCTGCTTGTGAAGTAGAAAACGGAATAGAAAATTCAGCTTACATATAAACGTAAAAAGTATTTACTGGAGGAAAAAATTCGCGATGCTTAATCATTCGGTCATCGCGTGTCTTACAAAAATATTCGAGCCATGCAAAGGTGACAAAAATCAATTTATATTGATTGTTATTTTCGTATAGAAATAAATAGCGCTTGATTTACGAGCAATTTTCGGAACATCTCTCAGCTTATCCAAATGATCGATAACGCTTTCCATAAGCTCTGGAAAATGTTTCGATAATAAAGAAACAGCGTTTGGTTAAATTTGAAACCGACGTGTCGCGCTATGTCACGAAAAGAATGCAACGCGCCGCGGCGCGCCGCGTGCGAAAGTTGCGGCTGTTGCAAAGTCCCATGCATCAGCGAAACATCAACTTCTGCGGGCAGAAACGAAACTCATGATTGATGCTCGAAACGTTGCCTCACCGTATTTCGACACGTGGCAACAACTTTCCACTGTCGCGTTACTTTTAAACTCGCCCGAGAGCTACTGAATCCTTAAACGCGACCCCTGACCCTATAAATCATGATCATTTGTCCCATAAAAAATACGAAGGCTCGTAACTGTCCCGCGTCTACAATTCATTGGCCTAACTCGTCGATTTATTAGCAGTTCCCAGATGGGTCAAGTAACTTCGCAACTTCATAATGTAATTTATACCGAAGATAAGAGGAAGGCGGGGCGCCCAGGGTGTGTCAAATCGGATGTCGCAATCTTTTTAATTCGAGAGATCAGCTTCCGAAGCGTCATTTCGCGCAGCCTCCATCGTAAGCGTTGCGCTTTTTTTACACGATCTTCGATTTCCCGTCACGTTTTCTTCGGTCGGTTTCGTATCGTTTCGGTTTGTTGTATCTGTATTCTCCTTCAGCCAACTTTATTTCGTTGCAAGATTTATTTTATTTCAAGTTGAAATCGCTGTGAAAGCTGTTTTAGATCATTCGCTGCGTGTTTTCGACGTAACACTTTTACACGGTCTTTGCACGGTCTTTCGTCTTCCTTCAAATTTTCCTATGTCGCTTTTTGCATCGTTTTTGCTTGTCGAATTGACTTTCTTTCAACATTTTCTCCAAGAATAAGGCGAAGGAGAAGAAAATTACTGCGATATTCGAAGGGTAGGGTGGAATCTTCAACATCGTTTTTAGGTACTGCTATCGCTCTACCATCTCTCTCTCTCTCTTTCTCTCTCTCTCTCTCTCTCTCTCTCTCTCTCCAAGAATAAGGCGAAGGAAAAGAAAATTACTGCGATATTCGAAAGACAGGATAAAATTTTCAACATCGTTTTTAGGTCCTGTATCGCTCTACCATCTCTCTCTCTCTCTCTCTCTCTCTCTCTCTCTCTCTCTCTCTCCCTCCAAGAATAAGGCGAAGGAGAAGAAAATTACTGCGATATTCGAAAGACAGGATAAAATCTTCAACATCGTTTTTAGGTACTGCTATCGCTCTACCATCTCTCTCTCTCTTTCTCTCTCTCTCTCTCTCTCTCTCTCTCTCTCTCTCTCTCTCTCCCTGTATTCAAAAAACACAGGTGCTTTTATTGCAATGAAACTGGCGTATACATCAATTGCCGTGGACTCAGAAACGCGGAGGGCGGCGAACAATTCCGCGCGAATAAAAATTACGAAACAAAGGGACCGGCGCGGCGATGGCCGACGGAATCGCTTTCCATCGATCCTTCATATCGTCTCTCTCTTTTCATTAGCTAAGTGAATACAGATTATCGTTACGGACCAGTCGATATTTTATAGGAACCGATTGATCGCCGGCGACTTCGTTTAAACGCGGCTATTCTACGCCGCAGCCATAAACGCGATTGCACGGCCGTCGGCGTCTCTCGAATGTAAAAAACACCGAGTTTCCGATAAATCCATACGATTCTTTCTCGCTCCGGACACGGTCCCGCTGAAATATCGCGCGATGGTTTTTACTAGATCGCGGTTCTTCGCGGCGGGATCCATATATTTTCCGCCGGCTATTTGTCGAAACAGCAATCGAATAGGCAGCGTGCTATAAAATTCTTGATAATTGTTAATTAATAGTGTTGATAGTGTTAATAGTGTTAATAATTAATTAATTAATAGTTAATAATAATAATAATAATAATAATTAATAGTCAATAATTAATAGTGTTAATTCGCTCTCGATGCTCAAAAGTCATTGAATTTCAGGAAATTTGACTCATAGCTTATTGTTGCAAATTACCGTGAAAACGTAGACGGTGCGAAATAAGTTCAACAATGTTTCTGAATTCGAATTCAGTGAAACATTTTTCGCTTGAAAATTCGAATTCAAAACGGTGCTTTAACGTTTATTTTGAAATTCGGCTCATAATTCATGGTTGCGAATTACCGTGGAATCGTAGACAGTGCGAAATAAGTTCAACAATGTTCTCGAATCCGAATTCAGTGAAACATTTTTCGCTTGAAAATTCGAATTCAAAGCGATGCTTCTTTTACGTTTATTTAGAACGGTGAATATTTGTAAACACCCTGTATTTTAAAATACGATCGTCAAATCAGAGATTTGATCTCGAGAAACGAATGAGGCTTAATTTCTTCTGAAATATTTACTGTTCCACGTTCCGCCGTTCCATGTTCGTCGCGAACACCTAAAAGTCCGTAGTTTATTTATTACCGTATCGCGCATAATGCTTTAAGAATGACATATCAAAAGCTTGTCTTTTTACAACGGTGAGAGAGAAAGAGAGAGAGAGAGAGAGAGAGAGAGAGAGAGAGATAACATTTACAATTTGTGTCGCGTAAAACGATCGACAACGTTTTTTTCCCCGTCGCGCTCGCAACGAGGTGTCAGGTGTCGCAAATTTATGACGCGTTCGCGCTCGTTCAACTTTCGAGGGGCAGAAGTTGCTTCTGGAGTAGAAAAAGTGGCTCGCGAAGCCCGGCTTCCTAGAAACCATCGTAGCCGGGACGCGCATATGGGGCCATTTTGCGATGCAAATTCGGTTTTTCTTCTGCTTCCGTGGAAGCGACACGATAAATCGCGTCCACGCCGGTTCTACGCTTTGGAGAAACGGTTTTTATCCGCTTGTTGCTTCTTTTTTATCGAGACGCTTCCGACAAAGGTCTTGCTCGCGTCGCGTGACTTTTGATGTTTCTGGCGCGACGGAACACCGTAATTTAATCGTTGAACATAGTTCGAAATATCTCGCGGTGGCTCGCGTTTAATTATCGAATACGTACATATAACGCGGACGAAATGTTAACTCCGTCGGATGATGTTTAATCTCGTGTTGCAACAGTGTGAACGCCGCTATTGGGAAAAGAATTTACCAGCCGATTTATTGCGAGGAAATATTAATTCTCAGTAGAACCATTTCACAGTTTTCGACGCAAAGTGAATACTGTGACACTTGTCCAAGTAAACCCAGAATGCACATGGGAGATTGTTACCAAAGATATTACACCATAGTGAATTACAAAATTTAAAATTTGTCTTTTATTTACAGTAGGAAAATGTATATGTATGATAACCATGTATTTGCTTTAAATCATTAAGGGAGAAATAACGCCGAAAAGCTAAATTTGCTCCGACTAGCTGGAACATACTCCCGTCAGAGAAATTTGCCGACCGCTAAAGGGTTAAAAGATCGCCCACTGAACCTTCCATCTCGATAAGGTGCAATTTGCGAGGCAGAGATTCGTAATTCTAGATAATAATCATTGTGCGCTTCGAATGAAAATCGGGGCTTGCCAGAAATACTTGGCCTCGCTCTATCAATATTAGCTATTGGAAAACGTCAATCATCGGATTCCTATCACGAAGTACGTCTATTGGCTACCTACTCCACTCTCTCGTACAATATTCGCGTAGATGGTATTCGATAAAGCACGGCGTGCATTAGTTGCATCGTTCGATCGCATAATTCGCATCTAATTTCAGAGTTTAATAAACGTTCGAATATTTTTCTACGACAAATTCTTCCTCGTTTGTCCCGATTTCCATGCAATTTAATACTCTTCTGTATCATAGTTTTCTTCGTTTATCTTTGCCGACGTTTATTTCAACGCTCCTCTGTAACAGGCTCTTCTTCGTTATCTTCAAACGAAGAAGATTGGTTTCCTTAAAAATACAACGAAAAGCGCGAAGACCGAGCGGAGTAATCACTCAATCGATAGTTTAATATAACGTGGAATTGAGAATACATTTTCTCGTGACAAGTAAATTTTGCCGCGCATCGCAAGGGATCGGCTTTTGTCGAATAATCCTATTCGTCAGTAATTACTACGACTCTCCGGCGCGAGGCAACAATGCATCGCACGCAGAACCGCGCGGTGAAAGATTAATGCGTCGACCGTAACGGTGTCCAATAGATTTTCGTGTTCGCAGACGGAGCTGATGGAGAAGCTGAAGGAAGAGGAGGAAGAAAGACTGTGCCTAATGGGAATGCCCCTGAGACACTACCTGGTGAAATATATCTTCCCGACGTTGACGCAAGGCCTCATCGAAGTTGCGAACCTGCGACCGGACGACCCCATCGACTTTCTAGTAAGTGATTGCAGCTGCGAGTACTGTAGACGATGATACCTTGCGATAGAGACAAATATGATCATTCGGGTCATATTTGAAATGTCCTTGACTTTGAATGTGTGGGCGGCTGATAAGATGGAAGATGTGAACGTAAAGAAAGAGAAGCGTTTCGTCCTGGTTGTGGCAGAGGACTCGTTGATAAGGACGTATACAAAAAATTATAGTCTTTCCGGTCAATGGGGGGTTCCTAAGGTCATTTGAAGCAACTTTTTCCTTAGCGAAAATGCGATCCGCGGCTTCGTTTACGAGTTATTAGCGAAAAACAGTGACCAATGAGAGGCGAGCTTGCTTGGCTGGCGCGAGGCGGCCGAGCCAATGAGCGGAACCGGGCTTCGTGCGCTGGGCCGTCTCACTCAGCGACAGTGGTCGCGAGGGTGGGGCGTCAGCCGTACGCGATCTCTCATTGGTCAGCGTTTTTCGTTAATAACTCGTAAACGAAGCGGTGGATTGCATTTTCGCTGAGGAAAAAGTTACTTCAAATCACCTCAGGAATCACTCCTGTCTGGCTGTTAGCATAATTATGGGATAGCTTGTATATACAATTCGAGACGGATCAGGTAATTGCGAGGAAAGGTGTCTAGCTATTTTTCTAGCTACTTTGCTGGCGAATGCTGAAGTATGTATAACGTATAAATGTATCATGACGAACAGTGATCCATAGACTGCAGATTTTTATGCAAAATATTATATATTTTTATATAATAAATATTATATATTTATCATATTATATTAATTGCAAGAAGCGATGTAGACGTTCCAAGTAGGTATCTAGCTATTTTTAAATTCTTTAAATGTTCAATTGTTTCGTATTTAACGTAGCAATTGTTATCGTATATTAACAAATCCGCGATCTAGCGATCCAAGTGTTAGATTCTCAGCAAATTAGTAGAAAAAAGAAACACGAATGAACTTACAACTAGAGGATTGAATAACGAGGATTTACCGAGCCAAGACAAAATGAAGATGCATTTGTTTTTGGGGAAAGCCTCTAGACGCATCCAGCATCGCGTCGCGAATGTTTCATCTTGCTGAAAGCTTCGCATGAAAACTCGTCTTTTTTGCATTGTGGGACCCGCGGTACAAGGCGGAAAATAATCAGAAAGACGGGTAAACGTTCAAAATCAGCTGCGCTGGTAATGGAACTACGCGACGTTGTGTATTCTACACAGTGTTTATACGGTCATAATGCCTCGATTTCAATTTCCACGTTGGCTAGAATGGCTCCTAGTCGTCGGCTGCAAAAAGTTCATGAATAAATATGAACAAACACGAAACCTATGAATAAACGTAAAAATAAATGTGCCGCCTCGACACGTAGCCGGCGACGCGTATGTCTCATGAATAAAGAACTCCGGGTAAAAATGTACAGGGTGTGCCGGACAAAGTTGCCAGCTGTTTTCCGCGTTGTAAATCATTGAAAACAATGCAAGCTGGCCGGTCCTTCGTGTACGATTTCAATGATTTTTGGTTGGAGCGTTTCGGGTATCTGGGAAAGGGTTCCAACGAAGCCGCGTTCGTTTACATTCGAACGTGAGGAAAAAACGCATTCAGTTCACGGCCACAGTGGACCGAAAGCTTTTTTCCAGCGAAGTGCGATCTTTGATTGGACCTCCAATATGAAACGAGGCAGAAATAATCGATGGTCGACGATTCGACGGCTCGAGGACGAACGGACCAAAGCGATTCCGTAGCGAAAATTGAAAAGCGAGTTGTCGAACCGCGACGCTTCAAGATCGAATTCAAATTTCATCGATTCCCTTCACAGCCAGTTCACACTTTTATTTTCCGCTGCAGAAAAGTAAAATGCTTTTCTAGACAATTTGCGCGCGAGGTTTTATGATCCGCGGATATTTTATCATTATGGAAATTCTTTCATAACGATTTGATTCGTCGAATGTTCAATATATTAGGTCTACCGGAAAGTTCTGTCCGTTTTTGAATTGAAATATAACACAATTTTCATACATTTAATAATATTTATTGTAGAATATACTTTCCATCGTTACTTATGACTCCTTGCCAGCGTGATGGCAACTTGTAAATGCCATTTTTAAAAAATGATTTATTTTTGGAGGCGAAGAACTCGACTAGTGCTTGGTTGACATCAGCTTCAGTTTTGAATTTTTTTCCTGTAAAAAGTTTTGCAAAGAGAGAAACAAGTGATAATCGGAGGGTGCTAGGTCTGGGGAGTATGGTGGATGCGACAGAATTTCCCAGCCCAGCTCTGCGATTTTCCGACGAGTCGCCAAAGCAGCATGTGGTCCGGCATTATCATCGGTAG